GTTCAATAACATTAATTTGAAAATGGAATACAACTTACTGTAATAAAAGTTTCCTGCAGTAAATTTACTGCATATCATTATATTTTTGTGGTAAATGAAATAAATATGAGATAATTCAACACAAAGAGACTGAGTACTGTCTGCAATTTAAGACATATTTAATGAATACAAACTTAAAATATTGATTCAGTATTAAAACTGACGATAATTTCAATTATAACAGATATTTTTAACTAAAAATTTCAACTAGTTACATTTGTTGATTCTAAGTGTATCAAAAAGAACTTAAAAATTCATATTCAATCGTACTAGTGACCTGCATCAGCACTGATTTTCAACCAATGGTTAATGTTTACTTAAAAATACTATATAGACCTTAGCAATGCTTCTGATTGCATTCAAAATACTAAAGAAAAGCATTTACAGGAAAATAAAAAGTCATCACAAACTAACTATAAATACTGAGTAGCAAACGCCAATTACGAATCTTAAAAAATTAAACTAGAAACAGGTAGCATTGTTCAAAACACTAAAAATATGCCGAGTCTAAATATTTTGGTTAGAATTACCATTATCTTTATATTTACACATATACAGCTGGGGAGGGAGCAACATGTTAACTTTAAAAAAAATTTACAGATCAACTAGCAATTCTCACCCCCTTATTTTGTATCTTAAATATTTTAATTTTCTAAGTTTCATGCCAAAAATTATCATTCAACAATTTTAATAATTAATTTTAACAAATAATTAGTTTACATAATGGCACATTATAACTAAAAATGCTATTGTAATTACCTAAAACAGAAATCAAAATCTTCTCTCTGATATTTTATTTATTTCCAAATCTGATCAAATATTTTACCCTTTGCATTACTGAAACTTCTAGTACTTAATACACATAACTTTTATAAAGCCAGCAAATATCCATTCAAAAACTACCACAAGCAGTTATTTCTCATTGCATAGTATAACAAAGAATAACTGCATCTTTTATGACTGAGAAAAACATTTAAGGAATTAAAATGCTCAGTATACCTTCAAATTTATTAAAATTTTATAGAAAATTTTTTAAGTGGTGATTTTACAATATAAATTAAGTATAACTTCTTTAATTAAACACATACATGGATGACAAAATCCCTTGTAATAAAAGAAAATACAAAAAGCAATAATAAAAGTAATTTAAATTTCATTTAGACTTAAAATAATTTTGATAAATATTTAAAAGTACAGTCAAAAGTCTTTAATCCGGACTCGTCGGGACTTCGGCGATTCCGGATTATCAGATTTTCCGGATTATAGATCATCAATTTAAATCTGGTAAGATGGCATGTAGAAATTATAAAATTAAAAATATGAAACCATAATTTATGAAATACAGAGCAATTATTATGTAAAGGGTATCAAAATTTACCAAAAAAAAGCTTAATATTTATTTAACATTTCTTTCAATGTGCGCAGTGCACATGCGTAAAGCATACATTACGCATAGTCGAAATTAGAAAATTGCAACCAGAAAACTGTTTGATGTGTATTCGTGATATTTATGACGACGAGGAATTTGATTTAAATCATTTCAGAGACGGAGTACATTGAGATGAAATACTACATTTAGTAAGGAATTATAAGGCCAATAAAATAAAAAAATCTGCTCTGAAGATAAAGATAGTGCTGACAGATCAACTTCCAGTTCATTGTGCACAGCGACGTCAGCATTGACGCATTGACTTCCAGTTCCATGCGTAAAGATATTATGCGCATGCACAGAAAGTTTGTAGCTTTGAGTTCCGGATTAGGGACGTCCGGATTAAAGACTTTTGACTGCATATATTTTCATTCTAGTTCATTCAAAAATAAATTAAAAAAAACTGTTTACATCTACTTAACATTCTTTAACAAGTATTAGGAGATGACAATATTTCTAGATCTCAGATTTTGAAGAATTCTACAAGAAATAGGATTTTTAAATGTGAAGATAAGTGCCACTGAAAAAAGGGGGAAAAAAAAGAAAAAAAAAGAGGGAAAAAAGCTTTAATTGGGGTACTATCTACAAACTGAAGTATATACTAAAAGAAGTGCATAAAGGGCTAAAATAATATGGATTCATATTTATACCACTTTCTACAATACTGCATAAAACAAACAACAGCAATCTTAAATTTCACATTTGAATTTTTTACATTTTGTAGTGTCTCTAATGAAATAACAAGAGTAAGTAACTCTTTTATTTTACTTAAACTCACTTAATTTTTTATGATTTTATTTTCTGGTACTTTCCATTTTTTAACATATTATTTGTATTAATATTAATAATTTCACATAACTAGTATGTTCCTAAAATTAATATTTATGCATGAAATGTTAAGAAGCTGATGCAGAAAACTAACTTTTTGATACAGGCTTTTTCCTTCATGTACATTAAAATATTTTACTTAAATACTTCTATAATATAATCACACAGAAGCGAGCAAAATTCACAGTTTAGCTAAAAAAACTAAACAAAAAAACAAAGCAATTCAGAAAATTAAATTCTTCAGAATTTCAACATAATAGATAGATTTTTATACAAGAATTTATATCTATATTCAATCTAAAAATTATTTGATAATCCAACTGCAGAACACTCATGCATAGTTCAAACAACATAAAAAGGGGGAACATCAGTTATTCATGCTGAAAAATTCAGATACTTTTATCTTTCCTTTTGTAAATTAACACAGAAGATAACATGGACAAGAAACAAATATAATGACAAAGGTTTTCAATTTCCCTACATTTTTTGAAGTAAAATATATGTAACAGTGAACATCTACTTTTTACAATGTACAGACAAAAAGAGGTTGCAGAAATTTTAAACACGCCAAAAATATTTAAAACAGTATATTACAAATAAATATTGAGCAAACAAGCATTCACTAAAACATTATAGATGGTACTTCAGATACACACATTAAATTTTTAAAAAAAATCAATTATCAAACACACACAGAGAAATATGAACTGTTATATTAACTAAAGGACAGATTTAACAAAACAATATTTTTTAATGTAAAGTAGTTATTTACATTTAATACTATACCATTCCTTATTTTTTTTAATTAAACAATGTAAAAATGACTAAACATAACATTGTTCATTGAAGTAAGATCATAAAAACTGGAATACATTTCAAATAAACAAAACCTCCTGCTTGAATTGATAATATAGTAATCCAGCAGTTCAGCTAAATATTAAAACTACACCAAAACACAGAGGAAACGTTTAATAGTGCTTTTTATAAAACTTTATGTAGAAATGTTAAAATACATTGATGCATTTATTAATATAATATTCAATAATATCTTAAACTTCATGAAAGCACATTTTGTGACTTTCTGAAGTTAATGTAACATTTTAAAATACTTAAAATTTAGAAAATGCAATACAGGAATTTTACCATAATGCAGTTATAACAAATGAACATATTTTCATTCATTTCAAACATACATATAAATTAAATTTTAAAACAAACTTAAGGGCGGGAGATCAGAATTTACCAGTGAACACAATACCAGAACAAATCAACTGCTTTCTGTTATAACTCGTGAAATTTTAATTAAAGATTATAAATAATGAAAAAATTGCAGGAAATAATAAATTATTAAACAATATTAATACATAAGATTATTAATACAATTATATTATTTGGAAATTAGAAACTTAACATGTATTTTTAATGACTGAACAAAACTATTTATGAAATTTCTTTATTTATCAGTGCTATTATTTTTTTCAGACATATGAATTATATGACGTGCAAAATGAACACATTTAAAAGAAATTACTTAAATGTACAATTCTTAATTTGTAAAATAATTTTAAGAAAGTAACTAAAAAAAGAAAAGAAAGAAAGAAAGAAAAAATGCATGTTGAAATGAAATGCGATACATAAACTCAAATACATTATCAGCTGTGCAAAATTACACTATATATTTTTAAACTCTCTATTGTTAATAATCAAGTTGCAAAAAATGTTCTCAGAAAAACAGTTTATCATCATAAAACTAATCATATTACACAAGGAAATAAACTATTATTTATTGTCAAATGAAAAAAAAAACTTACACCACTATAAAAACAATACTAAATATAAATCATATCCAACTGTGAAAATGACCAAAATTTAGAAAGAATTATCAACTAATATTTGTTTTCTATAAAAATTCCTCAGTGCAAAATAATGTCTGTAATATGATTAAATAAAATAGCTTAATTTTAAAACTGCTAAAAATGTAATGTAAATATTTAAAATTTTCAGAATATTTACCATTATGTTGGAGGAAATTCAGTTTTAAGCCTTTATTATTATTGCAGTACATTTGCAAAACATTTCACAAGCAACATATTCATCATTAATGAACAAGCAATCAAATTTATCAGATGAAACAAACATGCACACATACTAGTTAAAATGTTCAACTGGACGTTTTAAGAACCAGCACTATGAATGAAGAGGAAAATAACACAAACTAAAATATTACCAACCATGGCAAGAGTAAATTACAATCAATGTTCACAATAATTGTTCCTTTACAATTTATTAAATAAATATGCATATACAAATACATATAAATATAACAAAATATATAAAAACCACTGCAGGAAGAAAATAGTTTATAACTGAAAAAACTGCTGGCACTGGATATTGTTAAGTCCAATGCAAATAGCAGCAAAACACTGTACAAAGCTATACTTCATCAGAGCAAAACTACAAATAAATGAAGAATATTTTTAATATTTATAGCCTTTAATGGTCTTCATTCTTAAAATCAAAATAAGTTTATACCTGATTAAATATGAGTGCTTAGAAAAACTGCTCCTATAATAAAAGAATTCCTAAAACTCATGTACAGGTAATTTATTATTCTGCATGGAACAATGATGTTGAAGTTATGCAATATGGATCATAAAATAAGCTTTGTTATACCAATGATGACAGGTTAATTCAGATTTCTATATTATCAAAGAATTTTGTAACAAAATTTAATACAATGGAAGGTGTTTTTTTATTTATTTTTTTCCCATTTTTCTTTTTTTAAACTAATTGTACTAACTCAATTTCTTTACTCTGTTCCTTATATTACCAACATTGCCATTTAAAACAGAACCATCCTCACAGCTTCCATTGGTCTTCACAATTCTAAAAACATAAAAAAAAGGAAATATTTAATGGAAGAAAAGACTAATTTTGATTAGATAACACAACTGAAAATTTTTTTCTGAAAGAAACTACCTTATTACCTATTTCTGTATAAAAAACAATAGTAATACATTAATTTTCTCTCAAAATTAATACAAGAATAGTTCTGTAACTAAACATTTTAAACATATTCACAATACTATATACCGAAGAAGAGTAAAGGCAGGATATAACAGTATAATTAAATATGTTTATTTTTAGTCAGCTTTTTCAGGTATCTTGCAAGAATATTTGCACTACTGCACACATTTTGCATATCAGATGTTCCTATTTTACAAACTGAAAATTTTAAATTATTCCTTTACTGCTCAGTATTTTCTACATGTGTGCCTATATGTGAGATTTCTTGATATTTCTTACTTGATAATTTTCACTTCTCTGAAAACAATTTTATACGAATCAATATAATAGACAAATAGAATTTCCAAAATATAGTTATTAAAGAAATTATTAATGCTTGAAATACACACACGGTACTCATCTCAAACAATTAAAATCATGGAAAATTTGGCCTGCCAAAAAAAAAACAAAAAACAAAAAACCAATTTTTCCCATTTATAGAATTTTAATCTTTTGAAAGCAGACAGTAAGATTGAGGAGGGCAGAGACAAAACCTAATTTATACAGTCAATAAGCCAGCTGAAGTTAATAATACATTTAATTTATTTTATATATAAGTATGATTAAATTATTTTCGATAAATAAGTTTTCCAGTACTTTAATGTGCTGCAGATTTAGAATTAATAAAGTTACTTCAGAAAATGTATTATGTAAATCTTACCAATATGAAATACAGTTCTATTATTTTTAATTACCACATCAATTTATGTTTGCTTATTAACATGAAAAACTAGCTAAATTCTCAAAGAAATACATTTGTTCTTCCAACACAAATTTATCAAAATTAAATCGATATTCAGGATCAAGAATCAGCTTTTTTTGGAGTTAATTAAAAAAATTTTTTTTACACTGAGTAGCATATATGTCATCAATTCATTTGCTTCAGCTAAATGCTCAGCATCACTCTAGAATAGGGGTCTTTAGAATAGGGGTCATCAAACCATGGTTAAAGAACCTGGTCCACCAAGACTTTACGAAAAGTTAAAAATGAAACTGTCAATATGGCTGCCTCAAATTCTTTTGCTTTAATTTTAAACACATGCTTGCGAGATGTTTGATATTTATGTCACCCAACTCTGCTTTCATAGAGGGTGAATATATTTTAAGCACCCCACCCTAATAACCATTCGAACTAAAATAAACACAAAAGAAATCCCATCCGGGGTCTTTCTCATAACCCATACCCACATTTTGTTCTAAAATGTAGAAAAAATTAATGGAATTCTCTTTCTCTAAATGTTGCAATCAGTTGGAAAAGGTGGATGTAAACATCATGACTGGTTACTGATGAGCAGGTTTCGTATAGCTGATTTAAACTAGATAAATCTTTTCAGATTCTGAAATTTAGAATCTTTTTCGTATGCTGGCACAATGGCAAGCTGTCATACCAAAAAAGATAAGTTGAAGAAAAAATGCGATTCCCCCCCCAAGAAAAATTTGTCATACCTTTATGCTTTTATTCAGCACAACAGTAAGGCAGCTTGCCTGATTTGCAACAAGAGTGTAGCTGTAATAAAAGTGTATAAGATCAAGGGGAATACTAAACTCCCTCTTGATGTTACATTGTTTCATTATAGCTATCAAGAGAGTTACTTTAAGCACAGTGGGAAATATTCTACATTGGAAGACATTTTTCAAGTACATTAATTTCACATCATTAAAAGTCAGTGAATTAAATTTAAACTGTCAGCAGTACTTTTTTTTTTTCAAAGCGAACAAAGAGTCCAAAAACAGCATCTGTGTTAGCTACATGATAGCAGAAAAAACTGCTACATGTGGAAAGCATTTTGAAAGCATTTTGTTGATCAACAGTGTGTAAAAGAATGTGTTCAGTGTGCAGATGATGTGCTTTGTCCATCACAGGCTTACGCTATTTCAAACATTAGCTTGTCCAGTGTACAGTAACGAGACCAGTGGAGGATCTGGCAGCATATATAGCTGTACAATAAGTTAAAATCCAAATGCAAGGACTTATGTGTTGTTTTGTAGCAATGGTTAAATCAATCTATATAACATATAGTGCACAAGCTGACATTTTTATTTGTAGCATTGATACCTCTAGATTTTCTGCTCCCATAACACTACAAATTTTAGACATATAACCTTATAAGGTCTTTGTTTCAGATGGTCCTCTACTTTGAAATACAGTACAAAGTCTGAGATTCAGACTCGTAGAAACTTCGGCTACCCCAGATAGATCATCAGTTAAATCTGGTAAGATGGCACATAGAAATTATAAAATAAAAACATGAAATCCTGATTTATGAAACAGCGAAACATTTATGATCTAAAGGGTATAAATTTTAAAAAAAAAAAAAAAATATTTATTTATTTACTTTATTAAACATTTTTTTCAATGCAAGTTGTATAAGCTGCTTCATTTTTTGTGCTATTACTTTTTCTTTAATTCTATAGACAGATACACTGACTACCAATAAGTATTTGGACACCTGTGATAGAAAAGAAAACTAACTTTATTCAAAATCGATAGTTGGTAGAGCCTCCACGAGAGGTAATTATAGCGTGGACCCTCTGGGGCATACTTTCCACAAGTCTTTGTATGACAGCTAGTGGTATTTTCGTCCACTCTGCTTGGAGAAGACATAGAAGTAACTTGACCGATTTTGCACGGGTAGTGCACCCCTGAATTCGGCGATGTAACTTGTCCCAGAGGTTTTCGATAGGGTTCAGATCTGGACTCCGGGCATGCCAGTCCATTCGATGAACTCCATTGGCACCACACCAAGCCTTGGTTAACGTCGAAACATGACAACTGGCATTGTCATCCTGAAAGTAACAGGGGTCCAACCCATAAAACTGCCACAACGTAGGAAGCACATTGTCATCCAAAATAGTGCAGTAGGCATCGGAGTTGAGCTTACCATAAATGGGGACCAAGGGTCCCAAGCTCATACCAGGAGAAACACCCCCAGACCATAATTTCACCTCCACCGAACTTGACTGTTGGCACAATGCATTCTGGCAGGAGACGTTCTCCAGGTAGACGCCAGACCCTGCCATCCGAACGGTAAGGGGTGAACCTTGATTCGTCACTCCAAAGAACTTGTTTCCACTGATCTACGGTCCAATTTCGATGTGCTTTGCACCACATTACCGAGCAGCGCGGTTGGACTTTGTGATCAAAGGCTTATGGGCAGCAGCACGACCATGAGAACCAAGCAGATGTGCTGCCTTACGAATGGTATTCATTGAAACGATACTCCCGGATGCCTGCTGAAACTCCTCGCGGATCAGGGCCATCGGTTGGGTGTGGTTCTTCCGAATTTCTCTGGACAGCACTCATCGGTCTCTATCTCCCAGTTTCGTTGGTCTGCCGACTCGGGGAATATTCCGACAATCACCGCTCACCTTCCACTTCTTAATCACATAGGCCACTGTCGATTTTGGGTACTTCAGATTGCTAGATATGGCCATTAAGGATTGGCCACATTTGTGATACCCGATAATTATACCTTTCTCGAAATCAGAGAGCTCCGAATTGCGAGGCATCTTGCATGCTACTAAAGCCGATGCTGTTTCCTACACGATATATACCCGCGGAGTCCGGGACGTACCTTAGGACCGCAGATAACGTCATTTGCATATGTGTCCAAATACATATTGTTAGTCAGTGTATTATGTGTTCAGTTACAAAGTTCTATTGTTCAAGTCCTGTAATTGCTAGGTCGAAAATTCCAACTAATTTGTCAATCGAAATTTTTTCAATTTCAATAACCTCTCTCTCACTTTCCTTTCTATCAGTAGTGGTATTTTCTGGATTTAGAGCCTTATTACAGATTTTGCCATCCGTTAATTGACTGATGTTTGGGGCATTGTCATTGCGAGGAAAAACTTCTGTTATATCATCTTTATTTATTATCACTTGGCCTCATTTTTTTACAAAATGTATTAACTGGAACTGTGTTTTGCAATTGCTGGTGTTGGAGCAGACGCAAAAGCATACTTTGGTTTGCTTAAATAAATGCTGGGACTAACATAAAAATAAAACTAATCTTTATTTCATAACCTTAAATAAAATAAACTGAACTGTAACAGTAGTCTTTACATTAAAAACAACAAAAGAGAACCAGCAAACTCCCTCATGTTCACGATCTCTGCATTTATATATACAACTTCGGCCTACTCGCTGATACTACGTCATTGACCAATCAGTAGCAACCACATTAGTTTATCACCAATTGACTTCTGAACTAATTTGCATGAGGAAAACAACAGAACATTAAGCCAACAGTGATCCTCTTTTCCTCACAAAAAAAAAAAAAAAAAAAAATACTTTGATTCTTTAATATGGACACAATACTTATTGTTCTTTATTACTATTAACAGTTAAAACTTTTTCAAGTCCACAGCAGTTACAGCTTTTGTAAATAAGTCCGCATTATTTAATTTGGTTGGGATGAGTTCAAGGTCAAACACTCTATCATTCACCAGTCTTCTAATAAAGTGATATCTTACACCAATGTGCTTAGTCAGACTGTTTTCTATTGGTGATTTAGAAAAATGAATGGCAGATTTGTTATCACAAAATAGTTTACATTCTTTCAAACTGAACTTCAAAACTTGATTTTGCAAGACATTTTTTGTCCACATCAATTCCTTTGTTGCTTCTGATAAGGTGATATACTCTGCCTCTATAGCGAATAAACTTGCACATTTTTATTTAACTGTCTCGCTGTGCATCCTATGATTTCCACGAGCAACATAGAAGTAGCAAAATTCCGCGAGGATGAATTTTTGCCGTCTATTTAACTGCGCAATCCGCTCTTTCTTAGTTCAAGGTTTCCTTTCGGCTTTTCTGTGATGTTTAATTGTTTATTTAAATGTGGGCTAACAAATGGAATTAGTTCCACCTTTCTGCCAAATATACGATACGTAATATAGTATTTTGCACACGCTTTTCAGAACTCAAAGATGTTTGGCAATATAACCAATATTCCTGACAATATTTCCGATAGTAGTTTTGACTCTGATTTTCAAGTATATTGAAGATAGTTATAGTGAAACTGATGAGAATTTCTCGGATTCCTCTGCAGATTGTGGTGAAACTGTGATCGTCAATGACAGCAAATGAACATTCACTGAGCTTTATATAACTATAGTATTCTCACACTCCACAAGGAAACAAGGGGAAAAAAATCGCGTAACTCCAAATACAGGAAATTTCCAGAAATGAATTAATCAAAAACTGAGTATCGACGTATAAGATGCACCCCATTTTTCAGATCTACATATGTTCAAAGAAAAAATGTGCATCTTATACGCCAGCAAATACGGTAATTATTATTAACTTTTGAGTGCCATTGTAAATTCTTACAACATTAAATCTTGTAATGAATGGTATCATACATTTTCAATAAACATTAATGGAATAAAGTCATAGTCAAATACAAAGTCAATTATAGATAATTATAAGTCATAGGTACAGAACAGACATTCAACAAGAGGAGTTCCTGTAAATGAATCTAATTCCATTATTAAGTACGTACTTAAATATATAAAAACAATGTTTCGCAACTAAAATAAAATTTAAAACAAAAAATGCATCAAAATAGTCACAGCCTTACCCATTATGCAAGGCATTGTCATTTAAGTGATTTTGCTTAGAAGAAAATTGTTGGGAGAATTTTTCTTCTACATCAAATTCCCTTGTATCATCCACTTCTCGAACTTGGCCAGTGGCAACACGGAAAAGAAATTGAACAATAAACTAAAAAGACAAAATCCAAATTTAAGTTTGTTGATGCCAAGATACTTTCTTAACACCATACCTGGTAATTTCATGACAAAAAAATTCAGTCTCAAATTAAATTCAAAGAAAAGTATAGTGAATTTCACAGAGAAAATCAATTCGAATCTCAGTATTTTGAACTTAATAATTTTTAGAGGAGGATACTTATCATTCAAATTGGAATATTAGTAGAAAAATGAAATTTTAATTTTACTGCATTAGTTTTTGCCTTCTCACTCACTTAAAAGAAATTCTAAAATCATGTTTGGAAGCACTTATTATTTTTTTAATCTGACATCCACGGTTCTCAAAAATTAACAAATATGAAAATTAATGATATTTAAAATATCAAAGAGGAGGGAAGCATTGCCTTTGCATATAATATCCTAAACTAATATAATTTCAATATAATATTATGATACTGTAGCAATCTTACTAGACTTGTTAACAAAATATAAAAAATTTTCAAAATACTTTATTGAAGCTAAATATGTCTTAAAATAAAAATAAATAAATAAATAAACAAACAAAGTAATCTACAATATTTTTTAAGAGAAATAATTTTTAATGGTTTGGAATTCTCATAACTCAAAAGCCTGCTAAGATTACATTCTCAAAAATGCAAATTTGAAGCTACATCACCAATCTAGCCCAGTATTTATATTTTTACATAATTCATAATTAAAAATTACTGTATACTTAAAAAGCTAGAATTTTTAGCAAAAATTACAGAAGTCATAGAAGTTGGCAAGAAGTTTAAAACAGTTCATTTAAAATTGCTTTATAAATACCATTAAGCCTCACATTTAAGAAAGGATTTACATATTTACATCTATGTTAGTGTCTAAAACTTAAATTGCAAATACATTTCTACAATAATTCCAAATACCTACTTACTAATATTTTAAAAACTGATGTTATGTGTAATAAGGATAATTGTAACATAAGCATTTAGCAGTTTTAATAAGGTTATGTTTAAAAAAACATAAAAATGTCCTATTTACAAATCAGAGAAATCTGCCTATTAAATTGCATTTCTTGTGAGAAAATTCACATGCTTCAGGGGGAAAAGCTCTATGAGCTAGCCCTTCTCTTCTAAGTCCTGAGATGAAACTGAATGTGATGACAACTTCATTAAGAGCCCTCATTAGTTGGCAGTTACAGCAAAATTGGGGGCCATGTCCTCTTCAACGATGAGTCTAAATTCTCAATCAGTCCTTGTGTGAAGAAAGCCAAAGGCTTGTTATCATTCCTTCAATATAAGGGAAATCAATCACTTCGATGGAAGGGGAATGAAGGCACAAGAAAGCCTAAGGCTTGTTATTCCTTCAATATAAGGGAAATCAATCACTTCAGTGGAAGTGGAATGAAGGCACCACACTGAATGTCTGCAAGGTCACTTATGTCTCCAATAAGGACACTGACCAAACAATATTACGGTGAGGTTCTTGAGCTTTATGTAAGGCTTTTCAGGGAAAACTGATGGAGAAAATTTTATTTTTCATAGATGATAATGTGAGGTCACATAGAATTTAACAGGCTGACGATTTTCTGGAAGAAGTTATTTGTTGTATGGTCTAGCTAGCATCGTCAACATACTCAAATTACACAGCTTCTCCAGAATGTTCTAGGAAGAATCATTTATGACATCAACACCTTTTCAGGAAACCCCATTAAAATCCCCATTTTTAGAAGAATTTGGGTTGTTGCTAGAAGCTATGGTCAATAACCTGAATTACAGTATGAGAGCCTGTTAAAAAGCAAGTAAAGCTATGCAGGGTGTCCCCTCTCCTTCCAATCAAACAAATCATTTTGAAAATATGAGGTTTCATGTTTTTGCTGTTATTCATATATGAAAAAATATTTACCCTTTCCTCTTAACCTTTTCTTGCAGTGGGGGGCTACTACTGACTGTCTCATGATATTGGGCATATGTGTACAAATTTCCATTATAATGAACCAATTAGTTTTCAAGATATCATTTTGTGTATGCTATCTCGATTTATAGCTTGTAAATCTATATATTGGTGTCGAAATGCAATGACATCCATAGGTGACACATCGGGAGATTTAGTAGGGATATCACTGAAGGGTATGGCCTTGATACCAGTTTTTTGTTCCATTTCTTTAAGGAAATTTACAGTGGATTTTGATGTGTGACTGCTAGCTTTGTTTGATAGAGCCTCACAGATTGATGGCTGACGGTAAAGCCATGGTATTTCATTCAGAAAAATTGGCGATAAACTATGTTCCTGATAGTATTTGGAGTTAATCTTGACATTTTTTTGCAGTCTCTTTATTTTTAACTTGCCATTATAAGAAAAACCAGCAACAATCATGAATCCCTTAGAAAAACTTTCTTTCGATTCTTTGTACCATGTACTTAAATTTTTTTCTCCCCTTTTATGATAATAAATGGGTCTTTTTTTGTTACAATCATTTAAATACACCCATGCTTCATTTATTGTGACAATTGTTTTCCATTTTTCTTTGGATAAGTGTTTCACATATAGAATTCTGTCCTGCGTTGAGCGATATGTTTTGGAAGAAGACGATGCACATTGTGTTTTTTCGCTTTCTTAAGATTTAAATCAACGTTTATCATTTTGTTTACAGTGGACACCAAGCATTTTAATGATTTTGCAACTGTCCTTTGACTAGGGGGATTTTCTTTTAACATTAAACAACGTACCACTGCAATAGTCGAAGATGTCCGTTTTTTCCTTGGATACTTGTTTGGAATTTTTGTCCCACTTGAGGCTCCAATTTGAAGTTTTTTCCTTTCTTGTTGATGATATTACCTATCGACGCTTTAGATATCACAAAACCATTACTCTCACATTGTTTTTGGATAATGGAGTATGCATATTTCTCTTTAGAAAGAGCATAAATGTAGCCTTCGAACCACTGCTTTGTTAAATTCGCCATTTTGAATAAAAACAAAACTTTCAAGCCACAGACGATAATTTTGACTTTTAAAAACATAGTACAATTGCAATTACTTCTTTTGCAGCAAACAATTTTTTATTACCGCTTACCAAAATCGTCTAAGAAATGTGCGAACAGCCTCTGTATATTGAAGACGAAGTAGCAAATTCTCGCTATGTCTTGAAGAAACTGGCTCCTTAGCTTAACTAATGTTAAATCAGCTGTAAACAGCAAAGCCAAGCCAAGGAATATCAGTATAAACTGAAAGAAACTGGCTAGAAAGCTAAATTCAAACATGCAGCATAAACTCAGAACTAACTCTGCTACTACTCTCTTTGAACTCTTGAAATGCAGCTTATATACACCACTTCTGAAACATGTTTAAATTTGAATACTACGTAACACAAATTTACATTTTGGCAGGAAACTGAAATCAAGAGGGAAAGGAAAGTCAAACTAAAAATAATTAGTTAGAATTAAAATAAATCCTTACAAAGCCTTCTCCTTTTCTTACTCCTTTTTACCACCTGTATGTCAGTCTCCAAAGAATAATTATATTAAAAGTTAAAATTTAACAAACAAATTATGAATTATATTTAATAAAAATTTTAAAGAGTTAAGCACATATGAAAACGATCAACAAGTCTACCACCTTGAAGTAAATAATACTGGCATAATGCAAAACTTTTGTTCCTAATATATCTTCCATTTCTTCTATAAGTCATTCATAAAATTTTATAGTCTTTTTAGTTTTTCAAAATATTTAAAAAGCATTCATCAAAATTTTATGTACTACTTAATCATAACTAAGAACACTAACATAAAAAGTCAGCTTTTGCTGTTAACTGAGCAATGCTTCCAATTAAATAGAACATCAATTTTGTTTAGTATCCTAGATAAATTAAAGCAAAATCATTTTTAGTAATATCTACAATTGCTCCTAATAAATGATTCTAAATTAGCACATATTGAATAGAAAAATAACTTACCAAAAACCAATAAATATTTAAAATTTGAAGTATCCATAACAAACTATTCATGAGCAAAGCACATGGAAGGACTAGTTTTAATTTCTGCACATCAGCTGTGGCAGCATATAGTACTCGCAAAGGATAACAATATAGGCGACAAACAAACCTATAAAAATTTTAAACATAATAAATCCATATTATCAAAGGGTGACAGCATTTCTTCTGGGTTGATATACAGGAGACAGGAAACCACTGGGTGAGCAGCTGTGCCACCATGAAGACTTTCAGCTTTACTGCTCACTCAGTGGGAGGTTGATACATACAGTGCTTATAAATGTGCAACTGATCAAAAACATGCCTTAAAACAGGTACAACTACATGATCGAAAACTAATTTACTTCTGCAATGTGCCACATAAAAGTGCAAAAAGCATTTACCAAAATATTAAAAATTTATATTACGATAGGTAACTCATTATATATTCCGATAGGTAAATAATATAATACTCTTTATATATTTATAAATAATATAATACTCTTTCGAATATGATTATTTTCAATTCTGAGTATGACTATCACAAAAGTATGATTTATATTCCTTTCAATTTGATCAGAGGAATCATTAAAAAATTTGCATTTTCTGACTGCTTATGGGTTGCCTCAATTATTTCCTGATTATGTGATGTCCTAAATAGATAACACAAATGTAAAAATTAAAAAATAATTTTAGAAATATGTTTAGTAGCATTATTTTTTTAATTTAATTCATGATAATTCAGAAACCATTATGGAAAAAGTAATCAGAGAAAAATTATGAAAATAAAATAATATATATATTAATTAATGGTAAATCTAGTATTTATTTTTAGCTCTACAAAATTTTTAGTACAAATGTGAAATATATTTTATAATCCTATTACAAATGCAAAAGTATTTATTTAAATAAAGTTAACATTTAAATAATTTATGCAATAACACTTTATTAATAATCTGTTAAAAAACAGTTTTGTGAATTAGGATTCCTGCCAGCATTCAACATACAAAATTTTAAAAGCATACAATTAAAATGTTCAATTATTTGAACAGTTTTCCAAAACAGACAACATATCCATGTAAATCTTCCACATTTATTTCACTTTATTCAGAAAACACACAATCTATGTACAACCTCATGACACAGAAAATTCATTAATATCTTAAATTTGTCTCCATATCTTTATACATATTAAGATGTTGGTGACTTAGTCGCGTATTAAGATGCCAATACCCAGCTTGTTTGAAAGAAAAATTTTAAATATTAAAATAAAAAATTATTTAATTCTTCTAAACTTAAAAAAAAAACTTTATTTCTTATATTCAACTATTATGTTATATACAAACATATCAAAACATTAGAAAACAAACATACAGCATTTTCTCATAAGCACATGAATTACACAAATATTGCATTTCTTCAATTCTAAAATGGCATTAATTTTAAGGTATAATTCCTTAATTTTCAGCACCATCAACAGAAAAAAAAAAAGGTTTATCTCTAAGCAAATAAAATAAATGAAATTAAATGTTCAAATACATCTAGCATATATACATATATACACCAAATATTTACATATATACAGTACATTGAAGATTCCGGATTAAGTGTTTTTCCGGTTCATAGATTATCAATTTAAATCTGGTAAGATGGCATGCAGAAATTATACAATTAAAAATATGAAACCGTAATTTATGAAATAAAGAGCAATTATGATCTAAAGGGTATCAAAAATTTACAAAATTATATTACTTTTATATTTAAATTACATTTATTATTATTTAAAATATTATTTAAAATGATTTATTAAATTTTATTATTTAAATTATATTTACAAACTTAATATTTATTTGTTTACTTTATTAAACATTTCTTTCAATGTAAGTTGTTTAAGTTGCTTCATTTTTTGTGCTAATACTTCTACTATACTCTAATACTCTAATTCTATAAATAGACATAATTTCTAGTTCAGTTACAAAGTTCCACTGTTCAAGTCCTGTAATTGCTGTATTGAGAATACCTACTAACTTGTCAATCGAAATTTTTTTTGTTTTCAATAACTTCTCTGTCACTTTCTTCACTATCGGAAGCAGTATTTTCTGGATCTAGAACCATACTACAGATTTCGTCGTCCATTAATTGATTGATGATTGGAGCATTGTTGTCGCAATGAAAAACTTCTGTTATATCATCTTCATTTATTACCGCTTCTCCTCATTTCTTTACAAAATCCAATAATTGGAAAATGTCACCTTTAGTTTGCGATGTCCGAAAACCTTCAAATTCGTGGTTATCATCTTCATCGTCCTCACCATGAAATATGGTAGCTGGCCAAAACTTCTGCCAAGCATTTTTTAATGTATCTGGAGACACATCCTCCCAATGCACATGCGTAAAGCATACAAAAAAAAAAAAAAAAATTGTGGCTTTGAGGTTCAGATTATAGATCATTCCGGATAATGGACGTCCGGATTACGGACTTTATACTGTATATATACACCACCGAAGAGCCATTACATTATGACCACCCTGTTAATAACATGTAGAACCATCTTTAGCCATCAAACTATTGACTTGACAAGGTGCTGATATGTAGTCTGAGGTATCTGGTACCAAGCACTCACCAACTGATCCTGCAAATCCCGCACATTGCGAAGGAGTAGTGTGGGAGCACGAATTTTGGTTTTCCAGGTGGACCACAAATGTTCTATTGTATTAATGACAGGTGAATTTGGAGGCCAAGACATGACTTGAAAGGTCACTGAAATGTTCTTTGTACCACTCCTTGAAAATTCGACCTTTACCACATCGTGCATTATCCTGTTGATAAACATTTGAAATGAAGGGAAACATTGGTGGAGGCAGCATATCAGCATTTAGCATAATGAGCAGAAGTTATGTATGCTTGTAATTCATCGGACGAGCTAGATAATTCATTCTCACTAATATCTAAATCTTTCTCAGTATCTTACTCACCAGAATATTCATATTCACTTTCATGATTTGACATTTTGAATATATACAACAACAGCATATACAAGCATGAATTAATTCGACTGGTGTTAAGAAATTCCCCCATCTATCAATAACCTAAATGATATTCATAGATCAGTGGCACACTCTATAAGCCAGTAACTTAACTACTGTCTTATTGCAAATTTTTAATAATTTGGAGTTCTGAGGAAAAATGATTATTTCTTTAGTCCATTGTGAAGTACAGGACACTGTTCTTGTTAAAATATTTTGTCACATATTAGAAAAACTCACGAATAATTTTCAAGTATACTCAGTTATGTCCAATAACTGCATATCTCTGCCCAAACATACAGTGGATGGACAAAAATATGGAAACACCTTGTGAAATGCATGTTTGAAAAGAAAGATTGATTTTAATGAAACATGTAGGTGGCACTGGTGTTTTTGACTACTGACGCCACCTATACAACTTTGTAAATGTGCTAAACAGTTCAGTTGTTGTCGGAGTACTGTTATGTAAGGTTGTCATTGCATTATGTCAGAGATAACAGACTTCGAACGTGGGCAAATTGTTGGAGCATGTATGGTAGGTGCTTCCGTAAGCAAGGTAGCCGAGGTGTTTAGTGTTTCAAGAGGTACTGTATCGAAGATCATCTGCTAAATCACAGCGCGGACGAAAGTGTGTCCTGAGTGATCGTGACAGACTATCATTAAGGACAATTGTGACGAAAAATAAGAACACCACAGCTGCAAAAGTCACTGCTGAAATGAATGTTGTGTTACAGAACCCTGTGAGTACCAAAACAATTAGAAGGGAGCTTCATAAACAAGGAATTGCTGGCCGTGTTGCAATTGAGAAGCCACTCATCAGTGATGCTAATGCCCGTAACAGGAAAAGCTGGTGTTTAAGTCATAAAGCCTGGACTATAGAGCAGTGGAAGTGAGTAATATGGTCTGACGAGTCTTCTTTCACATTGTTTCCCACTTCTGGCCGAGTTTACGTCTGGAGAACGCCATCTCAAGCCTATAATACAGACTGCTTGTTGACAAGAGTGAAACATGGCGGGAGTTCTGTTATGGTTTGGGCAGCCATATCGTGGTTCTCTGCTAGCCCCATGATAACTGTGTCAGGGCACATGACTGCCAAGACTTATGTGAACATTTTGGCCGATCAAGTTCGTCCCATGGTACGAACTTTGTTCCCCGATGGTGATGGTGTCTTCCAAGACGACAAAGCCCCTGTTCACACAGCTCACTTTGTCCAGGACTGGTTTTCTGAGCACGAGGATGAGTTGTCCCATCTCTCCTGGCCACCACAGTCACCAGACCTGAATATTATCGAACCTTTGTGGTCTACATTGGAACGGAAAGTGCGTTCTCGTTATCCACTGCCAACATCGTTATCTGAACCAGCCACCGTTTTGCAGCAAGAATGGTATAATATTCCCTTGGCAAACATATAGGAACTGTATTTATCCATTCCGAGAAGACTGCAAGCTGTTTTGGATGCCAACGGGTTTCCTACACCATATTAAGCAAAGAAACATGTTTTTTTAAAGGTGTTTCCATATTTTTGTCCAACCCCTGTAAATGGGTTTGATGAGAATGATACAGTAAAGAGAGTCCAAGTTATCTTAGGATATAGGAAATTGCACACATTATGATGACAGAGACAGCTCATAAACTACATACTTTCCTCTGGCTATAAAATGTATGTATTTAAAAAAGACTTATAATATTAACTAAAAAGAGGCTTTATAAATATATCCAAATAGACGAATGCCTAGCAATTTTATGCAATATACATTTAACTATGATTATTATGTTGAACACAAAGCCCATTTTGCTTGATCTTAAATGTTAGTCCCTATGGACCAATTTGATGTGTTAAAAAATGATAATTTTTTATCTGTAACCGAAATTTTAAATTCGTGTACTAATATATATATTGGGGGAAGGGGTAATTTACACTGTAGTCTTTCATAAGAACTATAACAAAGTTCAATAATATAACAGCTTTTAGCAAAATAAAACAACACTAAGAATTACAGATCTTACAAGTTAAAATGCCCTAATAAATTTACAAAATCCACATATACTTAACATCAAATGAAAGCAAAATTTTCATGAAATAAGCTGGAGTGCAGAACCTAGATG